CTATATTTTGTCGCGTACTGCGATGTTATAATGAATGAGTAGTGTCCGCTAAAAGTAAAGTCAGCTTTGTCCTTCCATACTTAACATACCAGTAATTTGGCTGTTTCCTTGTAAAATATAACGAATAGAATATATATAGATATTCTCATGCAATAACACACAGAACAAGAGCCAGTGTGTTAGAACTTGGACACTATTTCAACGTGTCATGTAAATGTGTAGACTAAGTTAATTAATTAAAACAACCTGGTTTATCAAAACAAGTGATACTTTGTCAAAAGCCAGTCTATCATACATGTTTATTACTACAGTGTGTTGTAATATCCTTTCATAAAACAAAGATGGTGTTTGGTAACTGGTTTTAATTCCGAAAGTTGAATCCAGCCATAACAATTTTCACTACTCCAGGAGAGGAAATTTAATGATAATGAATAATTCTCTAATTTGCTCAAGACAAAAAAATGCAGGCGTTCTTCTCCTCGATCACCTCACCATGTTTGTTAGATTAAGGAAGGTCAGCCGCTAGAAAGTTTATATGACTCTAGAGATATGCTTACGAAAAATGTCCAGTTATGCTGACTATAAGTGTAAGTGTAGAATCGTCATTGACTAAATATGTTTAAATCTTAAGTTAGGTAACATCAAATGTCGGAACTTAACAAATGTACAGAGGCAATAAATGTCAGTAAATTGAAATAATTGACACCTTCCAGTTTTGTTAAAATTTAGGGTACCCGTATATATGACTTACATCAATTCAAACTCGCTTTCGGTAAAGATATCTTTAGCAGACAGATATATTTACACATAGGTTGACTAGTCTCTAGTTTCAGCTTACTAATCACAGTGTTTATGTAGAGTACACTAATTTGTCATCACTTATATTGGTTATACATGCACTATGTTTGCTCACAGCCTTCATTTATGTAGAAACATGGCTTTCAATGTTAGATACTAAATTCATTAGTAAGGTATGATATGTAAATTTTCATGATTTTTAGTAGAAATTGACTTTTTGTAACCCAATAAGTTCTTGAGTCCAAATGTTATATTTAAACAAAATCAAATTGAGATAGATAGGAGTTGCTTCCCTTGTGTTACACTGCCCATTTTTATTATCTAATCTGACTATAACGTGTTTGACTTAAATAAGCACAGTCAATTTCAATGTCTTATATCTACTTAAATGCCAATAAAATTGCTTCTTGAACGATATAAGTGTACACTTATAAAAAATGTTTATGCGGATCAAGGTGAGAGCACTTAATGGGATATATAGACTACCAGCCACAGGTCACAGATTATCACACTCACTTAGCATTTGGTATAGTTTGGCAGCAAGATGACATACAGACCATATTGACATACAGACAATATTGACAATACTTCATTAATAACATCTGACATACAGACCATATTGACAATACTACACCAATAACATCTGACATACAGACAATATTTACAATACTACACCAATAACATCTGACATACAGACCATATTTACAATACTACACCAATAACATCTGACATACAGACCATATTTACAATACTACATCAATAACATCTGACATACAGACCATATTGACATACAGACAATATTTACAATACTTCACCAATAACATCTGACATACAGACAATATTAACAATACTTCATCAATAACATCTGACATACAGACCATATTTCCAATACTTCATCAATAACATCTGACATACAGACAATATTGACAATACTTCACCAATAACATCTGACATACAGACCATATTGACATACAGACAATATTTACAATACTTCATCAATAACATCTGACATACAGACCATATTGACATACAGACAATATTTACAATACTTCACCAATAACATCTGACATACAGACCATATTGACATACAGACAATATTAACAATACTTCACCAATTCTATGTTACTGCTGCTTTTGAGATGTATTATTGATTTCCAGCCTACAAAGTACACAATGTGTTTGAGTTTGGATTATGCTTGTGTTGACATGTCGGTAACTTCTTGTTGTTTTTCGGTACTAAGAAGTGCGTGTAAAGCATGTGGATTGTCATGATTTGTTTGTAAATAAAATTCAAAGACACGATTTGATGTAATTCATAGATAAATTTCTTGCAAAACAATATCAGGAATATAAAGATACAGCAAACAGCCGACTTCAAACTGTACACGTTAGCATTTTGTTTGGAAACAGTTTGGAAAGTATCGGGAATAGAAGAGAGCTGAGAAAGGTCTGGTCATCCGAGTGTACAGAACACCTTGAACTTGGCGAGATTCCAAAGTGTTAAGTGCCAGTTGCCGCCCTTTGATGTATATGATAGAGTACTTCAGATAAGAATTCCTCGCTGACCATACACAATGGAGCAATGGTCGAGTATGGTCATGCTAATGGCTCAGTAGAACGACAGTATCACATATCAGCTCATTAGTCTACCAATATACTATGAGATATAACTTTGTTAATGGCTGAAGAAATCATCTTGTTTTTGTTGCGTGGAAGGAGGGTAAGACAACAATCCAAATATTGAAATTAATTACCTCAATTTTGTTGTTTTATTGCTTTGTGTCTGTTTTGTTAATTCCTTTATTTTGTTTTCCATCCTTCCCTTGTAGAACCATCATTTGTGAATCACCATAGAAGTTTAAAAGATCGAAAAGTATACAAATGTATCTTTCCATGTCAATTAAGTATTGGAATGCTGAAAGTAAATTGTAAATAGGTAATACAACTTCATCATACACTGGTCCAAGTGCACGTGGAAGACACATGCTCTTAACTGTAAAATACTCATTTCCTGGTATGAATGTATGTATTACTATAAAATGTAAGTATTTTTTTTTTTACAAATTTTCTGTTATATACTGTACAAGTATGAGTGTGTGCTTCACAAACTTTAACAGTAGGAGCATGTGTATTACGTTTTCACATGTATGTTGTGTGTGTGTTTACCATGATACTTTCATATTTTACGAATATATTGTGAGCATGTGTACGTGCGTGCATGCTTGCTTACTTAAAGAATCATACACGTGTAGAAAACATAAAATACTCACCAATGGACAAGTGAAAAAGAAGTATATACAACTGTGTGTAAGACTGAAGATTGGCAAATATACAGCTCTACGTGCATGTATAACGTATAGGTCTTTGTAAGATTTACTAAATTAGTTAATGTAAATATGAGAATATGCCAAGACGTTATCATGAATTCTGTAAAGGTATAGAAATATATCTACATTACACAACATTTATAGATAAATTCTTAGCAATGATAGATATCGCCTTAGAGATAACAGTTATACTAAAATCATATGGATTTCTTTCAGGATAAGTAAATATACCCCCGGTAATTGACATATCTCTGTAATTCTTTAATTATATGAGGCTACCTGCAGTATCAGTTAATGTAACCGTGTGTAGGACTAACTAACCACACCTTTTCATGTTCGGAGGTTGTCCGGTTCAGTTTTCCGGAGAAAATATGTCACGCGTTAACACACTATACTTGTGGATAGAAATCGATTGTAATGACTTAACCGAGGGCTGGACCTGGTCAGCTCAGAGCTGTACCAGAGTTATCACTAATTATATTTAGTATTGATTGTGTAAGGTTTCTTAGGTGACGAAGTGACATGAACCGTAATTACGTTCTTAATTATATATATCTGTAGAGGTCAAGGTCATTATGTAATTACCAGATACATGTATATATTGCATACACTATACGTTTGACCACGAATTAGTATTATAGATTTATTGTTGAGGCAGTGAATCTTAAAGATCGTATCTATCTGTTCAAGGAACAAAACAAAAATGTCAAAATTATCGATATCTGTATTTTCTTATTTTATTTTATTTATTTATTTTTGAATTTAGAAGAAATGTTCTAACATACATGGTACATGACACCAAATGCTTGTAAGAATATCGGCTTAAATGAAATAATCCATGCATATCAATACATAGCTGTATTCAATATACCGTTACATGGACGATACTATTGTTAAATTGGTCAGGGTAAACAATGTTGCAGGAAAAAGATACATAATGTTGACATAAATTACTGGATTGAAATAGGTTTTTGCAAATTGTTCTTTAAAATGTTACAGTGCAGCACTTTTGAAATGAACATCACGTCAATGAATATGGACCTAAACACTGATCTAGTGTCTTAGATGATTAATTAACGAAGTGTAATACATTAAGAACGTATCGAGTTAATTCTTACCACAGCTTACATAAAAATCATTATATAAGACAGTTTAATTTCCGGATTGAATTTCTATAACGTTCATTACTATGAGTGCACTCAGCAAATTGTATAACCGATTTTTTTATTAAACCAAATTAAATACACTGGAAACGCCTTTCTTAATCAGCTGTATGTGTCTGCCTCTATTGCTTATCATCAGTTGATATGGAAAATGATTAAAACTCCATGTTTTATAGTCTTTAATTACATAGTTACGTCTATGTTGGGTTTGGTTGTATTTACCTTTACATCGTACTTCGTCACAGAATTCTTTAAATAAACGAATATTTCCTGTGTTCTCTCTTCATTTTCAATTTAATTTGATTCGCCGTTTATGTCATTAAGCAGTAAGATGATGATGATGATGATGATGATGATGATGATGATGATGATTATTATTAAGCAGAAGATGATGATAATGATGATGATGATGATGATGATGATGATGAAATTGATGATAATGATGATGATGATGATGATGATGATGATGATGATGATGATGATGATGATGAAATTGATGATAATGATGATGATGATGATGATGATGATGATGATGATGATGATGATGATTAAGAAGATGATGATGATGATGATGATGATGATGATGATGATGATGATGATGATGATGATGATGATTAAGAAGAAGATGATGATGGTGACGATGACGATTGCGATGATGATGATGATGATGATGATGATGATGATGATGATGATGATGATGATGATGATGATGTTACAAATGTAATATACATAATTTACGGAGTTCCTTTCTGAATTGGTCATCCAAGAAACCATATATAAAAGGATTCACAACATTGTTGACTATAAATAAAGTATATAGAAACCGGAAACCGACGAGTTCCCCGGCAGTCATCGTCGTCCAGAATCGTTCATTCATCGTTTCAAACGTCATAAGCACAACTTTTGGACCAAACGTAAAGATATAAATACCAGTTATAAGCATGAACATCAAAGTGAGTTTTAATCCTTTTCTTTCTGTCCTACGGCTATGTGTACTGTCACGTCCATTCCGACTAGAATCCAAGTCTGACGCGATTCTATCCAGAAGTCTTGTCCTACAGCAGCATCTTTCCAGGAATGAAGACTCCCTTCTGACGTCGTTAGGTAGTACACTCGCTTGATTACAAGACTGTGCACCATTTGAAACACTTTGAGAACCACATAAACGCTGATGCCTACTTGCACGACGTTTGAAATGTTTACAGATCACTTTTCCGATCCTTATATAAATGATAGATAGAACAATGAAACGTAGCATCACATAATCAAATAGCAAAGCTTTGTAGAATAATTCCCACATAGGACGACTGCCATTATGTAAGACATTTACACATCGCCATCCTGTAAGGTTGTGAGTGGGGTTGATGACTGGCACTGACCCGTACACAAACAGGGCTGGGATCGCAATCATGGTGCTTACGATAAACATGGCCACCAGTGAGACTCGCTTCCAGTACAGTGTCATTTGTGTTCCGAATGGAAAACAAATCTTGAGGAATCTATCCACTGCTATAATCACAAGTAAATCGGCTGAAATGGTTGCGAACAGTACACCAAGGAACGCCACCATCTTACAGCCAATATCACTCTCGAACTTGAGAGGATGAAGGTTAGCGTACACTCCCGAACCTGCAGAGATGACACACGAAATCATGTCAACGAGTGCCAGGATAGGAATGAAATAACGTTCCTTGCTTGGGGTTCGAATCTGCCACCAATACACATAGATCACCGAGAGGTTTCCAAAACACCCGACGACCAGATACGACACTAGTACCACCGTAAGTGGTAATAGAATACCTGCAACAGCGTCATTCCAGTGATCAAGAGTCAAACTCACGTAACTATCGCTACTGTTCCCAAACATTGGTGTTGGTGATGTTGACATTGTGTTCACCGTCCTGGTTTCATTCGTTTCTATTGTATCACACGCTGTATAAGGCTTTAAAGGAAGTTAGTAATACCCGTCTTTACCTCTAATTTCGTTGCACATTCAAACCAATGTCTAGGCTACACTACGCATCCAATCCATCGTCAGGATTCCAATTGCCTCGAGACAGTGTTCATGTTATTATCCCCGTTGCTTTCGGTACAAATAAACTTCAAAGACATAGCACTACGCCTACAAGGCTATTAGATTATATCATACAGCACTTCGTACTCTCCAAGCGTCAGTGTATCGCACGTATCACCATTCGGTGAATAGTTTAACATTTATAATTACAACTCGCACCAAAAACGAATTCTAATTTTAAAACCATACACGTCATTTGTATCTGGAATTATTCTCCAGCAACATGCACGCAGCATGTTGGAGTGGAAATGGTATTGTGAAAAGTATCAACAAGTCTGTAATGAATTGTAAATCACTGTCAATCCCTTTTCATATGTTCCATTCACGAAGGAATGTTCCTTTCAACATGCATTGATAAAGTAATATCCGCTAGAAACACATGTTTAGAATGGTAATTTAATACGTACAGGAATAGAGAGGTCGTTCAGTCTTAACATCAGGTTATACATTGTTGATTAGGACCAATCAGTGTACTTCATCCTAGCACACTTATCACCATTACAGGTCGATAAGATATGTAATGTCGTTATCCAATACCACTTATGTAAATTACCCTGTGTTCCATGGAGTAACGATAACACTTCACAGAAACAGGGGCTTTTCATTTATCTGCGCTGCTGCCTTATCAGCCACTGAAGCAAGCGACAGGGAGTGATCGTACTATAGAGCATTGTTTTATGTCCGGTCACGATACTGCCCACCCCCTGATAATTCAGCACATGTTATTCGGAAAGGCTGCTTTCTCCAAGGAGTAACCTATGAAAATTTATTGCAAATACGCATTATATGAATGATTCTCGGGGGTGCTCCTAGAAAATGCTGCACGTATTGTCGTGACACCATTTTCCAAAGTTCTATTATGATAAGTAAAAGTAATTGTAGTTTCTCATTTCATGGCTTTGTCATGAAAGGTCAACGAAAGAGCAGCCACTAAACCGTGACTTTACGACCCGACTGGGCAGGTATCAGGCCACAGAGTCCACTGCCAACCATTTCTAATATTCACGTGTGTGCCTGTCCTTAAAACGAATATGTGTAGAGTTTAGATGTCGACAAATACGGTTGACCTCGTGAACGGCAAAGTGACGTCTCTTATCCAAATTTACGGTAATGCTATGTATTTATGTATCCGATTACTCCCAACTAAAGATGGCGTCCACAGAGAATTGTCCAAGCCTGCATGAGAACATATGATACTGTTTTGATGTTGTCTTATTTGGAGATATTGCTAAACATACATCACGCATAAAACTCATTCTTGACCGTTCGTTGTTTTATTATAGTGGATTGCCGGCAGGTTATATACGAATGGAAACCGCTTAAGCCTTCCGGTGGAAGGTCCCACTCGCTGAAGCGCAATTTGTTTTATAGAAAACCATGGCGTTTTCAGTCCGAATGGGCGATAACATTCCGAAAAACTTATCACTGTTTTGAGACCTTGTAATTACTATGTAAGCTACAGGAACACAGTGATAACTCTCGGTGGTAATGTTTAAAATCCCAACAAACACACGTTACGATAATGAGAATACATAAATCAGCAACGCACAGCGACTGAACTTAAGGGTGCTCAGACTGTCCAACGGACAAGTTGTAGGTATAGTAACGGTACATTCAGCTGGATCAAGTTAAGATACTTTTTTATGATTATTGCCAACTCACCTTAACGTGAGTGGTGCTTATCATCTCCTCTCGTAGGTCTCATTCATAATTCCAGCAGGTTTTGAAAAAAGAAACATTGTTTTAAATCAGTCGATTTGGGTTATTTGTGTACGGCCGATCGCCAGGAACACCGCACAGCATGCAAACAATCGTCACATGGCTGTGACTAATTCATAACATGCTCACCACAACATATTAGTTACATTGAGCTGATGAAGAGAAACATAAACTAATGTTTCAAAAGCGCTGCAGCCTTATAGACACCAGAAAATGGCTTATCCAACGTGTCGGATCAAAGTCACTTCATCTACTGTAAAACGATAACATTTGAAAAAGTTTCTTTCAATTCGGAACAATTTCATCCATATATCTCTATGAGAACAATCCAGAAATACTCATATAAATCCAAGTTGGGTCATTCCTTAATCATATCAAACGCCTATCACTGTTTTCGTATAAGTGATTTTCTTCCTATTAATATCATGTAATGATTGTTACTGTCATCGATGTAAATTAAGCAAGCCTCGTTTAACACTACTGTACCAAGTGATCATGGGCTGGTACAGATATTGTCAGCATCGCAGTGAAGATTTCCTGACTTAATGATACATGTTTAAGCAGACAGATGTATATGATAAAGTTTATTGGACACAGCTGGACGCTGAGAGCTGAATCAGTGGTCGTCTTGTAGTATAACTGAATGGAAAATGAACAATCGCTGCGGGAATATATGAACGAACACACCTACTCTGAGGAACGATGTATGGGTATAGAAAACGGATTACCAGACCAACAACTAAAATACCCAATGGCAATCTCGAAAACTTGTATCGGAATGGAGAGACCTTGGCTAGAACAGCCTACCAATAAACACACGATGCCAGTTAAATGACGGTCCAATATTCTGAAGGTCCACGAAGACCTGGAGCCATTCCTAACCAGCATCAGCAGTGATGTCCCCATGGTGATATGTCGAATTCTCACAATATGTTGTCGAATGCTTAATGCCAACATATTAAGGCACCGAAATATAGTTCTATATATACATTGTATCTAAGGGCTCGTTCAAATTATGTTTCTCCTAAGAGCTTCAGGTAAGATTCTAATCTTGCCAAACTGGATATGCGAAGTCTTAGTGAAGACCTTTCGAGTGACAATGTTTAACGGACGTTCAGAGTTTCGATATATATATATATGATTACCTCACCAACAGGATTTGTCTTCAAGCTAAAACTGTGGTGATAATACTTATATATTAATTACAAATCTGAGCGAAACACAAATCGCTGACAGATTCTATTATAGTGATTGTCATTTCATCACCTCGGCATCATTATCAGTCAACTATCAACACACATCCGCGAAATGATGTTAAGTTCCAATTTCCCATTATGAATATTAATCCACAAATCCATAAGCTTTTATCAGCTATCGGAGGGACACCCACGTTAAGACCTCTGAAGCTATCACACTGCGTTAACACTGCAAGCGAAAAAACAACTGTCAACATAAGCATTATGATATGCTCACATTTCACATTCATTGCCCGGAAAATAATGAAAGTCTAGCTGGTGCTGAAGCCGTAATATACCTGTTAATTCTAGACAGGATCGGTTGATTACATTCATGACTGGCTCCTAACCAAACGTTGATGGAGTAGAATTATACATTATGATTCTGGATGCTAAAACCAACCTTGTGGACATTTCTGTATTGCTTTCCTGTATACGTCAAATGTATGGTAAGTCATAAGCATAGAAGACCAATATATAGCTGAAAGATTTATATGCACTGAAAAAAACCGACATTGATCCAATGTATGGGAATGATTTAGAAAGATCCTTTATCCTAACCAGAAAAGAGAATGGATTTAATAAAATATCACATTTCCTGTTTCAGCTCTAACCTCAGCGTATCCACTAATAGGACCGAGTTTAGATAAATATTATGGTTAGTATTCTAATTAATATATACTTATATCAACCTTAAAACATTAGCTCCACTTATATTGTTCTTCTGATAATAACACTTGATATAACTCAATACGTATGTATTGAACGACCTAAATATGTTCCATAAGCTTGTGTTTTCTTTGTACAAAATTTCTGTACCAGGTTATCGATTATCTCCCCTAATAGTCTAATCACTTTAGAAGTTCGGGATACAAAACAATGTCGGATAATTCTAAGCTTTCATGTAGGGACATCCTCCGGCACCATACCATACAGATGTTGAAGTCCCTGTGTTGGAATCAGAGAAACCTCAGACTAGCCCTTCAGTGGCTGTGAAGAACAGGATGGTTCTAGATCAATTGTCAGATACAGGATAAACACGTACGATGGAACAGTAACTGTGTATACGTATTGAAAGGTAGCACATGTAATGAGATGCTGTCTTAAATAACACAATACCATTATTTCAATTATCTATCATTGATCATGTACATAGATTTATCAAAGGCCTCTTCATCATAAAATAGACAACAAGAGGCAAAAGGGCCTTAACGGTCACCTGAGTCACAATGCTTCCTCTAACATGTCATAGTAAAGGTTTGTTTAAAAAAGTTATATAACTATCGTACACATAATGCAACGTAAATTGTGTATACATTAACTGCTGTCCCGTGCTAAAGTTTCTAACCAAGTTTGACTTAAAAGAAATTACACTCCAGAATTTTCCAATATAAAATCTTCCATCCAGGCCAGCAGAACGTCTTTGAAATTTCAGTCAATTTGACCCATTTTTGGTCCCGCCCATCATTCCCTGGAAGTTAGTCAAGGTCAATGTGTGCATCTCCTCAAACTGCTTACACTAATAAAAGAAAATTCTAGCCAGGTTTGGACTATTTCTGAAAGCAAAAATATAATTATCCTGTATAAATAGAACATTGGATATGTACAAATTGCTCCACATATGGAGTGAGTGATAAAGCTTTGTCTTGGATACAGTTCTACTTATCAAATAGAAAGCAAAGTGTTGCAATCGGAAGTATCACATCGAGCACGGAAATGTCTAAAACCTTCTGAGGAGTGGAATGACAAACTTGAATTGTGTCTTTCAGATATCAACAGTTGTATGAAATAAAACTTTCCTAAATTAAATCAGGACAAGACAGAAGTAATTGTGTTTACACCTAAGCGCCAGCAGAGCAA